CATTAAAAGTAGTGACAAAGACCAGCTCAGGGAGGCCTGGAATGTTCCAGGCTTGTATTCTCTTTTAGGTCATTTAAGATTTCTCAAGTCAAGCCTTGGGACCATCTGTTGCCTGATGACATTGAGGCGTGGGGGGCTGAGAGACAGGTCTCCACCTGGCGTCCCCATCTGGCTGCATGACCTTGGAAGGTCCCACCCCCTTTCCGGGCCTCAGGGTCTTCATCTGCCCAAAGGGAGTTGCGTTTCTGTGTTACGAGGGGTGTGGGAGGGTGAAGAGGGGCGTGAGGAGAACCCCATGAATATAGGGGATTATTCTCTAGGTCAGGGAGGCCTCCCCTCCACCTGTCAAGCCCACAGAAGCTCAAAGGCAGCCGAGGAGGATCTGAGACCACCCAGGAGAGCAAACAGCCCGTCCGTGGGACAGCAGCATGTGGTGAGCAGCTGGCCTGGACCGCTCGCAGGCCAGCCCGTGGGGCAGCCACCCGCTGCCTGGAGAAATGGATATGAGCTGGCTTCTTGCTGCTCCCAGCCCTGGTACAGCCACAGCCCTGTCACTTCTCCAAGTCCCCGTCATCACCCTCCCACCCTCAACACACACACACAGGACTCCACCACATTTGGCCCTTTTAGTCCCTATTATTATCCCCACAGCCGAGAGGGCTTTCACAAAGTAAACCCAAACACGTCTCATGCTTGCTCAAAACCCTCCAGTAGATTCACACTGATCTGAAACCAAAATCCAACTCCCTTACCTTAGGCAACAAGGCCTGGCATGATCTGCCAATCCCACACCCCACCTCCAGCATAGGGGTTAAGAGCCTGGCCTCAGAGAGAATCTGCCTTGGTTAGAACTCTGGCTTTTTCTAATTCATTCATTCATTCATTCATTCATTCATTCATTCATTCATTCATTCATTTAAAAATGTTTATTGAGCACTTACCAGTACCTAACAGGTACTGTTCTAGGCATTTGGGATACATCAGTAACAAATGGGATAAAGATCCCTGGCCTCATGAAGCTTCCTTTATAGCAGAGGGAGGTTAACAATAAATACAAGTGCCCTGCCTGGGTAGCTCAGCTGGTTAGAGCATTGACCCAATACACAAAGTTTGCAGGTTCAGTCCCTAGTCAGGGCACATACAAGAATCAACCAATGAATGCATAAATAAATGGAACAACAAATCGATGCTTCTCTCTCTCTCCAATAAAAACAAACAAATAAATAAATACAAGTAAATTATATAGCATGCAGGAAAGTGACAAATGTTATTAAAAAATGAAAAAGTAAAGCAGAGGAAGTTGACCAGGAGTGCTGGGAAGGGTGGAGGTTGCATTTTAAAATAGGGTGGTCAGGGTAAGTCTCACAGAGAAGGTGAAACTTAAGCAAAGACTTGTAGGAGGTAAGGGATGGAGACATGCAGACATGAGGGGAAAGTGCAGGCAGAGGGAGCAGCCAGTGCAAAGGCCCTGAGGTGGGACTGTACCTGGCACGTGTGAGGAACAGCAAGGAGGTGGGGAGAGAGGTGGGAGACGCCTCAGAGAGGTAGGGTGGTTCTTGTGGGGCCTTGTGGGACTCTGTGAGGAATTTGGCTTTTACTGAGTAAGATGGGAGCGTTGGAGGGTTTTGACCATAAGGGAGTGGGAGAGGCAGAACCAGGAAGGAGAGGAAGCCAAGCAGGGCTTACGGGTGTCTTGTGGGTGGCTGCTTCAGCCTGAGCCCACAGGGGAACTCTGGAGTGTAATTATACCCCAAAGTTATCCACCCACACCCCTGCCAGCAGCCCAGGCAAGGAAGGTGGGCTTTCAAGTCCCTGAAATAATGGGGTACAGCTTGTGGGGAGGGTTAGTCACCCAGGAGGCTCCAGAAGCCTGAGGGCAGTCCTCCCCAAGGAGAGAAGCTGGTGCTGGTCACCGAACACTTACCCAAGGGAGGCTCACAGAAGTAGTAAAAAGGGGTCCAAGGGGAATGTATGAAGTATTGTTCCTGGTGGCTCCAGTTCCCAAACACCAAAGCCCCAGCAGCCACAGTCCTTTTAGCCCAGGCTTGGGGTGGCTAAAGATGGGGGGCATACCCCAGTGTGACCAGGTAGAGTTTATCTGGTTAGAAAAGACTTATGGGCATCACTCTCACCCAGGACTGCAGAGGGACTCACCCTCTGCAATATCCTGGCCATGTGGCTGGCCAGCCTTACATATCTTCTGGGATGGGGAGCTACTTATCCTTAAGTTAGCTCTGTTCTCCTTTGGATACTCTGGATTGTAGAAAGTTCTGCTTTGTGTTGAGTCCACTCATTCAGTAAACATCGACTGAGCACCTGCTGTGTGTCAGGCACCATTCTAGGTTCTGGTGACACAGCAGCCAACAAGACAGACAAGGTCCCTGTCTTGAGGAGCTGCAGACTGGAGAGGGAGATGACTAGAGAGAAAAGATGGTGTGGTAAGTGCAGTGATGGGGAAGCCCAGGAAGCTGCAAAGGCCAGAGGGGACTCTTGACCTGTGGGAGGAGGTGACACCAGGCTGATAAATGGGAGATATGTAGTAGTTACACAGGTACAAAGATGTGGAAAAAAAATTAATCCAGGCTGATGGAGGAGTGTATGCAAAGTCCCCAATAATTCCACCAGTGCTCACCATCCCCGCTGCTACCCCCGGTTCAGCGATCATCCTATCTTACCTAGATGACTAGCAGTCTCCTCTTGGGTCTCCCACAGAGGGGCAATGAAGCTGGGGTATGTAGCCATTAACTCCTCTCTTTTCTTGGTTGAGGGCAACTCCTGTGGGCATTAACTCACCAAATTCCCTACTCAACCTGCAGCCATGAGCAGCGAGAAGCAGGAAGCGCAGGCATGTGCATCAGTTTCTGCAGGTGACCTCAAGGAAGGGCTTTGCCAATTTGGGCGAGGCGCCTACAACCCCTTCTACAGCCCCACATGTTCAGTGCCTCCTTCCCCTTTCTGACCCTATCTCCTACCTTCTCCCCCTTGCTCATTCAGTTCTACCTACGCTGGCTTTGCTGTTTTTTCAACTTCCAGGGCATTCCCTCTGCCTGACATGCTCTCCCCACAGATATCCTCATGGCTCACTTCCTCTACCTCTCTGCTCAAATGACACCTCTTCAGAGAAGCCCTCCCTGACTACCTTATCTCAAATAGCTCCCACCCCATCATTTCCTCCCCTCCTTGCCCTGCTCTCTTGTTCTCCAGAGAACTTATCATCACTTAATATGATATATTTACTTGTTCATATGTTTATTGTCTGCCTCTCCCACCAGACTGGAAGCTTCTGAGGGCAAGGACCATGTCCGGTTTTGTGCATGGCAGAATCCAAGGTAGTCAGTAAATATTTGTGAAATTGATGGTTCTGAAACAGAAGTGGTTCTGAAACAAGGGTCCTTCCAGGTCTGACTCTCTGTCTTGGATATGACCTCCCCAACACTTCCAGTGGCAGGGGGACCCTTCTAACGGCTGGTCACAGCCAACAAGCTGCCAATTTGGTAGCCTCCCTCAACTCAACCTTTCCCCATCCAGGCCCATCTGGCAGGAGTCAGCAGTCAGCCTGGTCCAGCTCTCTATGAGCCCCGTGGTGGAGGAGACCCAGTTCTGGGGTCCAAGCCCCAGGGATGCCTGCTGAGCCCTGTTTCCTCTTTGGTAAATGTTCCCCCCTTCCTTCACAGGGCTAGTGCCTGCGTTTCTGAACCAGAAGGTGTTTACACAAAACATTCTGGGTTTGGCGACAAATTCACCCTCAGTGAGAAATCCTTAATGAATCTCCTGTTCCCCACACCAAGCGGCTGCAGGGGAAACCAGCTCTGCCTCTGGCAATTGAAGGCAGCCAAAGGCCTGGCAAAGAGGAGGTGCCACTGAGACTTACAGGGCCACAGTTTCAAGGAGGACTTTTTTTTCAGGGTTCAGAGACAGCTGTGGTATGAAGATCAGAGAGCTTCTAGACCCACGATTGCTCTGGGCTTTCTGTGTGACAAGGCCTCGCCCTTCTCCCAGCCTCAGTCTTTAGCTGTGAGATGGGGCGGGAATAACCCACTCATAGAAAGGTTGTGAAAGTAAAGCCAGGGTGAGAAAGAGCTTGGTCACAGGGGTGAAAAGAGAGAATGAAAAGCTGGATTCAGGGAGGCAGGAGGCCAGAGTTCTAGTATCAGGTCTGCTGTTGACTTTATAAAGTCCTCGCTGCTCTCCGAGCCTTGGTTTTCCCAGCTGCAAGATGGTTTGGGCATGATCCCCAGGAAACCCTCTGGTCCTAAAGGGCAGCTACTCTTACCTGCCTGCCCCTTCTTGGAGGTCCTTCTGGATCCGATGGCCCACACCGATTTGCTCTCCAGCGCTTACAGGATTTCACTGCTCACTGCTCATGGTTTTCCAGCCACTTCCTCGGGTCTCGTTCAACTCCTCCGGACATTGGGCCGAACACTGGGTCTCAATAAACACTGGCAAACGGAATTGAAAAATGATTCCTGCCTTTCCTGATCCTGCAGAAAGACGATGAGAGATACTTTTACTCACCCCTGTTTTATGAATTAGGAACTTAAGGTGTCAGAAGTTACATATAAGTCACACTGCCCCACGGGCTTCCTTGGTGTTTCTCAAACAGGGAAAACATGATTTATTTCTGCAGCTCTTTCATATCTATTTTGTTGGTCATTAATTGTCGGCTTTTCCCACTAGGATGAAGTTTCATGAAGGCAGGGGCTTTGTCTTGTTCACTCTGCATTCTCAGCTCCTAAAACTGCCTGACACAGCCGGTGCTTAAGAACCACGCGAAGAGAGGAAGGGAGAAGGGGCCGCACTGAGGTCTGTTCTCTCGGGGCCTGCAGGGGGCGCTCCAGCCCCGCCCCCAAAGATCGACCTTGACTCGCGTTCAGCTGACGCGCGTGCGCTGGAGCTTGCGCGCCGCCGTTCCTCTTTTAATTGAGCATGCGCGCCGGAAGCCCTGTCAGAGCGGCGCGTGCGCAGGCGGAGCCGCTGCGGAGCCCGAGCGGGAGCCGGACTCGAGCCGGAGCGGAGGCGCAGCGGGCGGGCACCATGCTGTCGCCAGAGGCGGAGCGGGTGCTGCAGTACCTGGTGGAGGTGGAGGAGCTCGCCGAGGCGGTGCTGTCGGACAAGCGGCAGGTAGGAGGCGCGTCCGCCGCGCAGGGGCTCGGGTTCAGCGCTTGGGGCCTAGCGGCGAGCGCCGTAGGGAAGTGCGCGGGGCCCGGAATCCGGCTCCAGCACCGGCTGCCCTGAGTTTACCCGGACGGGTGGTCTGTCGGCTGTGACGACAAACGACAGATTGAGGTCATGTCGGCACCGCGCCGCGCCTCACCCGTTTATACAGCACGTACGTGTTAGGGGAGCCTCCGCCCGCTCTGTGCCAGCCATCCTCTCTCCATCCTTCCTTTGCCCTTTACCGTGCCCTCCAGATCCCGAACCATTACCCCTTTGGGCAGTTTACCAGACCCCCTTTTTCAAAAGGCAGCTCCTGGGGCCCCTAGTTGACCTGGGCTGCACTGCCCTAGTCAAGGCCCTGAGGGGAGAAGAGGAACAGAAAAGAGGTCTGAGAGGTCTGACTGTGCAAGGGGGGGACGTGGGAGGAACGTGGGACCCCGGGCTTGGCGGGCCTTGCAGACCTGAACTGGGAGCTCGGGTCTGGTTCTAATCAAGGTGCCAGGTGTTTGAAGGGAGCTGGGGGCGGAGGAGAGCGAAGGATGAGGTAATTGGATTTAGGTTTTAAAAGGATTCCTCTGGCTCCTCTGTAGAGCACAGTAAAAATAGGAAGGCAAGCTGCCAGTCCAGGAGAGGGATGGGATTGGACCAGGGTGGTGGTGATGGAAACAGCAGATGGGTCAGGAATATATTTTGGAGGTGGGTTTAGTAGTTTTGTGTGTGTGTTTTTTTAAGAACTGTATATTTTGACAGTTTTCAGACAGTGGCAGTAAAGATTTCGTTTTAATAAAATCAATATGATCTCATCACTTTCCAGTTGGTGAAAGTCATTGGAAGTGTCTTAAGTGAAAGAGTAAAAACTAGCAATGGACCAGTCTTGATGTCGCCTCCTCTTTATGTCCTTGGTTATAGGGGTCTCTCCATCTCCAGCTAGTCTTTAGTTGGTTATTCAGGATGATTTTTGTATATTTTAGTTGTAATTCCAGTTTGGGGTCCTGGGAGAGTATCAGTGTAGCTTCTACTCAGTCCTCTGCCATCCGGCTTAGTAGGTCTTGGTGATGGTTACATATAGGGGTGAGGGATAGGAGGGGCCAAGAATGCTTCTGGACTCATTTTCACTTAGAATGATTGGGTGGTTGGTTGGGTGGTTGGTTGGTTGTTTACTGACAAGGGGAAGACCCTTTCAAACATTGCATCGGTGTGCTGAGTGATGATAATAGCGGTTAAAGTTTGTGAGTACCTACTGTGTGTCAGGTATTGTGCTGATAATGCATTTCATTCCTGGCTCAATAACCTGTGAGGTAGGTACTATTCGTATCTCCATTTTTCAGAGAGGTAAATTGGAAGGTGAAATTGCACCGTTCATAGCATACGGCCAGATTCAAACTTGGTTATCCTGGTTCCAGAGCCAGTGCTCTAAAGCAGCATATTGTACCCAACCCCCCTCACTTCTTTAGTAGCTGTTGTGTTGTTACCACCATCTCAGTTCCCCACACCTTCTGTTCCAGTCCAGTGTTGTTGGGCTTCTCATGATACTAGGTCAGAATCAGCTGGAGGAGCTTGCCCATGATGAGGTTTCCACTCCTGAGTGATTCTGAAATGCCTTAAAGCTTGAGAATTAGTGCTCAAGTATATAATAAAAAATTATCTGTTTAGTTAACATTTTCTTTTTTTTTCTTTTTTAAATATATATCTTTATTGATATCAGAGAGAGGAAGGGAGAGGGAGAGAGAGATAGAACATCAATGATAAGAGAGTCATTGATCAAGCCCGCAACCCGGGCATGTGCCGACTGGGAATCAAACCCCGATCGCCTGGATCCTAGGTCGACGCTCAACCGCTGAGCCAAGCCCGGCCAGACTAGTTAACATTTTCTTAGCACCTTTTCTAGGGGGAAAACACCTGCACAATACATGGTCTTTAAGGACCTGGAAGCTGAGTGGGGGAAGAAATACATTCACAAATCAGTCCATTTTAGACAGGACACTGGAAGTAACCCAGGAATGATGCCTTGTTGTCTCTGTTAAGTTTTAATAGAGAGGTGGGTCTGTTGGGAGGTGACAGGCTGGGACAAGAAGTAGCTAATTTCCCTCCTGCCCCTGTGCTTTTCAGATTGTGGATCTGGACACCAAAAGGAATCAGAACCGAGAGGGCCTGAGGGCCCTACAGAAAGATCTCAACCTTTCTGGTGAGTCAAGACTTCCTCACTACAGCCCAGGTGGCCTGTTCAATTTTCCTTCTAAGGCCTTTACCCTGTCCCTGATAGAGACCAGGCAGGCTACAGGTATGTGACACAGCCCGTGGAGATAGGGGAGGAAATTTCACAGGTCTGACACAAACTGTGGCTCAGGGTTTCAGCTGCTCAACTCCACGACAGACCATTAGGTGCTGGCTTATCAATGATGGCACTGGTAAAGTGTGGGTGGGTGTGTAGTGTAAACAGTGCAGTTCCTGCCCTTGTGTTCTACAAATGAGCAGAACAACATAAATACGTAATTGAAAATTGTGAGAAAGCTGTAAAAGGGACTGGGCGTGGGATAGGTGTTGGAGGATGGGATGGGGGCTCTTAGAAGCCAAGTGGTTGTAACAGAATAAGCAAGTGGGGAAGGGGAAGTGATGAGGCTAGAAAGATGGACAGAGGCTAGGACATAATGAAGGGAAGAAGTTTGAGTTTAAAGTGCAGTGGAAGATCTAAAACCTTCCAGTTGCTTTTCATCTCACCAGAGTAAAATCCAGAGTCCCACAAGACCCCATATAATTCAGATCTCCTTACACTCTCCAGCATCATTTCTATTTCCCTCCTCGCTCATTGACTCTATCCTTCCTGGTCTCCTTGCTGTTCCTAACACCCCAAGCAGAATTACTGATTTTTGCTGTAGGGCTCACGCCCTCACTTTCTTCAGGTCTCTGTCCAGATGTCACACAGTGAGGCCTTTTCAGACCACCAGGTATAAATAACAAGTCTCTCCCTACTCTGGCATTCCCCATCCCCCTTACCCTGCTTTATTTTTCTCTATAGTACTTAGACCTGGCAGGGCCTTTGCTTGTTTATTCCCCCTCCTCCACTATAACAAGCTCTATGAGTGCAGAACTTTGTCTTGTTCTGCAGTTTTTCAGCATCTAAAACAATGCCTAGTGGATAGGAGGTGCTCAAAAATATTTGTTGAAGGAATTACCATTTTCCATTTCAGAAGATGTGATGGTTTGCTTCGGGAACATGTTTATCAAGATGCCTCACCCTCAGACAAAGGAAATGATTGAGAAAGGTAAGGCCTCCTGGGCATGGGTCAGGGACACAGCTGCCTCCCTCACCAGCCTCGGTCTTAACAGACCTTTGTTAGGCTTTGGGCAGCTTGATGAGAGGCAGCTGTGTTAAAGGATTTAGACTTATGTGGGTTTCAATCCCTGCTCTGCCACTATGAGTTATTTCATCATCTCTAAAGGGGAGTGGGTGCATCTCTATAACACAGTTGTTTTGAAGTTAAGAAAAAACAGTATATGTGCCCAGCATAATGCTTATCAATGTGGAACAAGGTGGACCACAGATAACAGAAAATTCAACAAATTGAGGTTTAAGATTTGGTTCTGTTTTTCTCATGTAAGAAGTTGGCGGAGTGAGCCATCCAGGACTGGCACTGCTGCTCAGCAATGTCACCTTAGCATATTCTCTTGGCTGTTGTGTCATCATTGCAGGTCTCAGGCTGGAGGAAAGGCAAAGGGCTTTCTCCATATATGGCCTAGCTTCTATTTTGGAAATTGGATGTCCTCCTCAGGGACTTCTGCTGGCATCTCTGTGGCCAGAACTAAGTCATATAGCCCCCATGGCTGCAAGGGAGCCTGGTGTAGTAAGCTTTTATTTTCACATCCCCTACGAGAAAGACTGGGTTGAAAATGGGGGTTTGGGGAGAGTGAACCTGAGGGTCTGCCATAGCCTGGGTGCTCAACAGATGTTTCTCAAATGTGCATGACCACAGTCTCCAAAGCTCTTTGGAGATACATCATAAAGGCAAAAGGCCGGGCTACAAATGGGTCCTTGGCTGGGAAAAGGGCAGGTTACACATATTTTTTCTTTTCTACCCTTGAAAATGTATGGGTCAAGAGAATCAGCAAGGTTGCCTCTGTCCCTGAAGACAGGATATCTCTATCCCTGTTGAAATCAAAATTCTAGCAGAGGAAACTAGACTAGCTTGGAAGAGTAGTTTTCCAGTTTTGTTGAAAAACATACACTAATGTTATTATAAATTGAGTTATTGTACTTGGGTGGTAGGCTGGAGGCTGCTTTCAGAGGGGGTCACTTGCCTGGGTTCAGGATCAGCTCTCTTCGCTCATAAATGTGGTCATGTCACTGGACCTAGAGGGGCTCTGGGACATCATTATCTATGGTTTACAGAGATTGACAGGCTAAACAAGCTTGTAAGAGACTGGGGTTACTCATTTACATTGAGCCACCCATTTTAAAACATTTAGTAGTACCATTGCCCAGGCCAGAGGCTCAGCTGGTCAGGGGCATCTCATCAGAAGGAATGAAAGTCTGTGGGGAAGACAAACTAGCTAGAATGTCCCTTGTGAGCAGGTGAAAACAGAGCAGGTGGAGTAGATTGGGTGACATCAGTCAGATGCATCATCTAAAGTTGAGCTTTGTAGCTTCCACTTATGTGCAGTTTGCTTTTAGGTGCAGTCTGTTAAGGTAAGATAACCTTTTCTACTCACTGAGGCTAATTAGGTTAAGCTTGAGCATTCAGCTTGCCTATTGATTGTTTAGGATATTTAGGTCACATGTTACCACAATCATGCTTTTCTAAAAACTCCTTAATGGAGTTGGGTTTATAAATTCCTTACCACCCATTTTCTAATCATCATAGTGTAGGTTGGTTGTAGGTTCTTCATTTTATTCTTTCAGTTGAATTTTCTCTAATTTCACTGCGGGAGGGTGACCTAAAATCCTGATGTTGCCTTCCTGTGCACTGACCAGCCCAAGGTACTTTGCATAATGAAAACAGCTCAGGAGACTGAAAGTCAGGGGACTTGTCAGCTGAACCTGGGCTCACTCAGTGGTTGTGGGCAGGTCATGTTGCTTCTCTAGCCTTTGGTTCCTTCCTCAATTGGTCTCTGAAGTCCTCTATTCCTTCCTGAGTACTAATAGCCCTGCTCTCAAAGGGGCTAGGGAGAGGCTGGTGTCCCTGGCTCCCTTTGGGTCATTCTGTTTGTAGCATAGCCTCACCCTGCTTGCCCACCTCATTTTTCAGATCAGGATCATCTGGATAAAGAAATAGAGAAACTCCGGAAACAACTTAAAGTGAAGGTCAACCGCCTCTTTGAGGCCCAAGGTATTAGCCTGGGGGGATGGGGAAGCAGGAAACCAGGAGGGGACAGAACCATCAACATGGACTTAGGGGGCAGGGTTGGGAAGCCCCTCTCAGGTGGGCAATGGCCTGTACAGCATGTGAGTGGCACTGAAGCTGTGGGCAGTGGTTGTCTCTAGTTGTCCTCAGGTAGAAGGGACAAGGAAGTTTGGGGGTCTTCTTCCTATCACAAGTTCTTTTCCAGGCTCTAGGAATGGCCTGGGGTATCTTATATTTTATTGCAGGGCATGGTGTGGGGATCAGGGTAGCTCTGACTCAGAAGCTGAATTTCTAGTAAACCTAACCACTCCAGACCCGTCACAGGTGTGGCAGAAATTTGGAGTTTTCTGGGCAGCAGAGTTATGATTCTGCAGGTGCTTGGTGACTCAGTAGCGGGTGTCAATGTTCATTGTTCAGTACATTGCAGACTTGAGGCCCTTCCCTGTCAGACCTCAAAGCCAAGTGTTGGCAGCATGAATGCAGAGTAAGCTCCTTTCCCAGGCCTGACTCCAGGGCCAATAGGTTGGACAGCAGGAGGTCTGAACACCCTGATGGATTGTCTTCTCCCCCTAGGCAAACCGGAGCTGAAGGGTTTTAACCTGACCCCCCTCAACCAGGATGAACTTAAAGCTCTCAAGGTCATCTTGAAAGGATGAAAAAAATTCGAGAACCAAGATAGGGGGCTTAAGACCAGCATCCCCCTTTGGATCGTGTAGGACCCACAACTCTCCAACCCTGGCACCTGCAAGGACAGGATCTACTCTGCAAGGTCATAGGCACCAACAATCTGGCCATGGCTCCTGTATGCAGCCTCTTTATCTGTAGCAGTTGACTGCTCTGTGACAGCAGCAGGGAACCCTCAGCCTGCCAGTGTCTGCCAGGCCTGACCACTGGGGCTGAATGGACACAAGACCTATTGACAGGCCTAGCAGCCATCAGTGGGTGGGTGGGGGCAGCGCCTGTGGGGGTATGAGAATGACTGCAACAGACACTTAACAGTGGCCTGCTGTTTAAGTGGGCCCTGGGCGGGGAAGAAGGGAGAGGGGAAGAGTGGGAGCTTCATTCCAGCATTCCTCTCGGAAAGGGAGCCGGCATTTTCAAGCAGCTTGTGTAACAATTGGAATAAAGCAGGAGGCTCACAGGTGGTTCTGAATGGAGGACAGTCTTGGTGCTTTGTGGTCCACCACAACTATCTGTGGAGCAGACATACCATTTCTCCCCACTGGCTCCATTTTGGCCTGTTTTTCCTGCTTGCTCCCAGACAGCCCAGAGTGGGTGCTGCTTATCAACCCCCCGCAGCTGCTCTTTCCTCAGGAAGGCCTTGCAGAGTCCTGCACCAGAGATGGGTGAGGGAGACCGCCTTACATGCTGCGTGCATTCAGGACGCCCCCCCACCCTCTGAAAGCGGGGCCAGGGCAGCGCTGCTCTCCGAGTTCCCCTGCCTTCAGTGGTCTTGGGTCCTAATGTGAATGTGCTGTGAGGGCATCACGGTGTCCTTCCTGTTCATTGAGGGCTCAATAAAGGCTACCTAAATGAATAGGTTCTAGTTTGTACTTCATTCGGTCTTTAGTTGAGGGCACGCCGCTCCCTTTAGGATACCACTGATGAAGGGGCAGCGGTGCTTCCTTGAAGTGACAGCAGGATTAGACAGGCAGTAACGACAAATGGCAAAATGGAGAGAGCACACTGCCGTTTCCCTTGCTCCATTCAGCTTCTGCCAATAGTCCTATGGGCACACAGGCTGGTATGACCAGATCATACGTTTTCTTCAAGAGGAGCTAGCAATTTGGATTTTAAGTAGAATTTCCTGTCTTTTAAATATTGCTGACTAATGCAGAAAAATTTTAAAAGCTTTGGTATTGACCAAACAAAATACCTTACATAAGTCAAATCTGGCCCAGAACTACTATTTTGCATCCTCATGAGTTTTTTTAGTAGAAATTTCTGTGTTTTTTCTGTAGGGCCCAAAGAGTAGGTAGATGGAATCAGAAACTAAATGAGAGAAAAAAAAAAGGAACTGAATGTCTGCAGTAGATTAAAGGAATTGGCCCAGAACTACTATTTTGCATCCTCTTGAGTTTTTTTAGTAGACATTTCTGTTTTTTCCGCAAGGGCCCAAAGAATAGGTAGATGAAATTGGAAACTAAATGAAAAAAAAAACACAACTAAATGTCCACAGTAGATGAAAGGAATTGATAGCTCCAGGTATTGGGATACCACACAGCTATAATTGAGAATAAGGAAGCTCTTTCCTTAGTTTTCTTTTCCATCTTGCCAGATGGCTGGCAAAAAAACTGAGAAGCCAGATACTAAGGAGAAGAAACCTGAAGCCAAGAAGGCTGATGCTGGTGGCAAGGCTAAGAAGGGTAACCTCAAGGCCAAGACGCCTAAGAAGGGGAAGCCCCACTGTAGCCGAAGTCTTGTCAGAAGAATTGGTGGATATTCCCGGTCAGCTATGTATCCCAAAAGGCCATGCACAAGAGGAAATATTCAGCAGCTAAATCCAGGATTGAAAAGAAAAAAAGTTTTTGCTACTGTCACAAAACCAGTTGATGGCAACAAGAATGGTGGTACCTGAGTGGTTAAACTTCACAAAACACCTAGATGTTATCCTACTAAAGATGTGCCTCGAAAGCTGTTGAGCCAGGGTAAGAAACCCTTCAGTCAGCATGTGAGAAAACGGGGCCAGCATCACTCCCGCAACCATTCTGATCGCCCTCACTGGGCGCCATGGAGGCAAAAGGGTGGTTTTCCTAAAGCAGCTGAGCAGTGGTTTCCTACTAGTGACTGGACCTCTGTCCGTTAATTCAGTTCCTCTGCATAGAACACACCAGAAATTTGTCATCGCCACCAAAGTTGATTATCAGTGGTGTGAAAATCCCCAAACATCTCACTGATGCTTCAAGAAGCAGCAGCTGCGTCAGCCCAGACACCAGGAGGGTGAGATCTTTGACACAGAGAAAGAGAAATACAAGATTACAGAGCAGGGCAAGATTGATCGGAAAGCCAGGGACTCGCAAATTCTGTCAAAAATCAAAGCACTTCCTCAGCTCCAGGGCTCCCTCCGCTGTTTGCTCTCACCAATGGGCTTTGTCTTCACAAACTGGTGTTCTACATTTCTTATGAAGAACCTGATTAAACAACTGATCTGTTAAAAAAATAAACTTACAAAAAGGAAGAAGGAAGCTCTTTGAGCACTGATTTGGAACAAGCTCCAAGATTAAGTGAGAAAAGAAAAGAGCAGGACAGGTGTCTAATAAGCTGGTGATTTGTATGCAGTCACCAATTATGTGGTTCCCTCAAAGCAGAAACTGCGTGTTTGGGTGGAAGGGAAGAACATGTTGCTGTTACATTGCATATTTGTAAATACAAACTTAAAACGTAGGGAGTAGCAGTGTTTACTTTGGTAGATACTATCTGTATGACTGCCTTGCTCACAATCTCTCTGTCTGAACACTGTCCCTTCGTGTCTGGCAGGGTAGATACTAGGCCAGAAAAGAGCCAGTTGGTTTCTGCTCGAAAGGTGGAACCTCTGCCTGGGGCTGTCTGGGCTGCCTCAGTTACAGGGATGGAAGGAAGTCTGCACTCTGGAGGCAGGAGGCCCAGAATGGCCGGCTTCTGGCCTTCCCAAAGCTAACTGGTTCACTTCTTGGATTCGGCAGTATTTTTCTTCCAAAAGCCCTTCCCTTCCCCAAGTAGTCAGATTCTGTTATTTGCAGCCAAAAGAACTCTCTGGAAGCATGGGGAGTGATAGAGGGAGCTGCCCGGGGTCCCAGGATGGTTCCTTCATGGAGCAGTTAGCCACAAGCCCACTTGTAACTCCTATTAAACCAAGAGAAGGCGTAGAAATGTGGAAAATGCAGAAATTTTTACTTGCACCCAACTCCTTAAGCCATTTCCTGGCCTACCAGCCCAAGGCATTCTGGTTTAAAAAACTCAGCACCCAACCTCAAGCGGGAAGGCCCAGAGAGGCACCTATGTCACTCAGATAACTTAGATCTAAGGGCAGCTTTGCAGGGACCCCTACTAAGCAGCTCTGCCTTCCTGATCCTTACCATACCCATCTGAGAAATGGGGATGCTCTGGCCTGCTGGCTTTCAGATGGTCAGGGGAGCTCCATTGGTTCCCCTGACATGTAAGGTCAGGGTATTACAAGGAGGAGAAGATGTACAGGGTTCAGTCCTCCAGACCTCCAACAAACACAATCTAGTAACTGCTTGCTTTGCAAGCACAGCTTAAGACAAGTTCCCTAGGCCGTGAATTCTTGCCCTTGGAGAACTCTTTCAGCACTAACCTGAGAGACATCAAAGGGTCAAAGTCAGGAGGACGAGGCTGCAGCCGACAGCATTCTCTGAGCCAATCCTAGTGCCCAGTAACTTCGAGGAAGGCCTGTGCGCATTTATTAGATGTGATCTCTGGGATAGCAGAACTTGATGAGTTTTTACTCTTTGGGCCTGTTAGCCAAGTCAGTCTGTCAAGGTTAAAACCCATCCAGTCCAGTGGATTGGCTTCTGGTGCAAAGACACCCAGGGGTGGGGAATGCAGGGGGCCCAGCCCAAGCAGCAAGCAGCAGCTGTGGCCCAGCCAGAGGGAGGGAGGTGCATGCTCTGAGGTGCTGCTGTGCTGGAAATGGAGTGGGGAGAGGACTGGCTGGCATGGTACCTCCCAGGGTCGCTTTCCTCCCAGCAGCTGGGTATTAGCTGGAAGCTTTCTTCTGGCCTTGCAGGGAGCGGAACAGCTGCCTCAGCTGTTTTTTTCTATCATTGATGCAACCTGGAAGGGAAGCAGAGTGTTGGCTGGGAGGGCCTAGCTATAGAAAAGGGGGTTTGGGGGAGTGCAGCTACCTAGTGGGAGGAGGGGACAGCAGCCGTGCATACTGAATTGCTGTGGCCCTCAGGCAGGTCATTTTTCTCTTTGAGCATCAGCTTTCTCATCTGTAAACCAGTTACCTGCTTTGTGGGATGAGTATAAGGATCATCAAAGGAAGGAAACGTTCACTGGGGACTTACCTCAGCTGCTAAATGTGGATTAACTTGAGATCTCACCGGAATGTGTAGAAGAAAAAACAGGTTCAGAGAAGCTAAATAATTTGCTCCAAATCACATAATAAGTAGCAGATCTGGGGTTTGAACCCAGGCTAACCTAGCTCAAGAGGTCAAGTTTTTTTCTTTTTAATCCTCACCAGAGGATATGTTTTTATTGATTTTAGAGAGAGAGGGAGAGAGAAAAATATCGATGTGATTGGTTGCCTCTGATACACACCCCAACTGGGAATCGAACCCACAAGCCGGGTGTGTGTCCTGACCGGGAATTGAACCTGCGACCTTTTGGTGTATAGGACAATGCTCCAACCAACTGAACCACACTGGCCAGGGCAGAGGTCAAGTTCTTAAACCCCACAAGTCTTTTCCACAAGCAGCCCCTACTCTCATGGAAGTGTGTCCCAGGCAGTCCATGCAGAGAGGCTCACAGGAGCTTCTGAGACACCTCTTCCTGTGTGCTCTCAGAGCTCGTCTTTGAAGCAACTCCATGGTCATTTAATCTTATGCCAGGCACATTGACGGCACTCACGAATGCTGGGAATGATGAATCTGCATAGCCACAACTACTGACCTAGAAGAGTTGGCCATCTTTCTTAGCACCCCAAAGCCCTATTCCTGACTCCTAGGCACTCACTGGTCATCAACGCATCACTGCACAAGAGCCCACTATATGCATCCCCAGGGTTCCATGGAACCCTAGCTTTAACTGTAATTGGCTCATTCATAACTCCCAAATCTTTGTGTCCAATGAAAATCTCTTCTTGGAGTTGTGGATTCATCTCTGAGTTATCTGCTGATCTTTTCACTAGGAGATCCCTCAACACATCCGTAACGCATTTCATCAATACTCTTCCCACCCCCAACTGACTCCTCTTGTATTCACCACCATATGCCCACACTCCACTGGATACTTGGGAATTACTCTAGAGACTTCTCAATCAGTGGCTCTCAACCTAGGCTGTGCTTTAGGGTCACCTGGGAGATTTAAGAAAGACTGATGTCCAGACCAACTGTATATCTCCAGCAGGCATCGGTCTTTTTTAAAGTTTCCATATGATTCCAACATGCAGCCAAGATGGAGAAGCACTGATCTTTGCTACTCAAACAGGGTCCAGAAACCAGCAGCACTGATATCTGAGGTGGATTGTTAGCAAAGAGAACTGCAACAACTCCTCCCCGTTCCTACAGGCACCTCTCTCTGCACTGTGGTTTTGCTGTTCCTCCCACCAAGAGATGGGGCCTATTTCCTTACCCACTGAATCTGGGCTAGACTAGCTTTAACTAATGGATTGTGGAGGAATGATACTGTGGGACTTCTAAGCCTGGGTCTCGAGAGGCTTTGCTGCATCTCGCCTTCCTGGAACCCTGGACCACCATGTGAAGGAGCCAGGGCAGCACTGCTGAAGGATGAATGGCCACCCAGAGGCCCAGCTGACAATCAGTATCAACCACCACCTATGTCAGCGAGGCTATCCTAGGCCATCAAGTCTCAGTCAATTTGCCAGGTGCCTGCAGCCCTACGAGTGACTCTAGGCAACACTTGAAGAATGAATAGCAAATATGATAGCTGTTCAGGAAGGTTTGTTACACAGTAACAGTTAACTAATAGAGCATCACCTGGGAGCTTGTCAGATATGCAGAATTTTAGGCCCTACTCCAGACCTACTGAATCATAATCTTCATTTTAACAAGATTTCCGGGTGGTTGTATGCACAGCTTGAAAGCACTATGTAGTCATCCTCCAACAACGCAATGTGGCAGACACTAGGGATCTGCTGTGGAAAAACCATCCACAAACTTCCTCTCCTCTGCCTTCCTCAAGGCAAACTACTTGACATCCCAGGCTTCCTTGCATCTTGGGTGGCCATGTGAGCCAGCTCTGATGGGTAAGATGTCAGCAGAGGTCTCTGGGAGCATTTCCCTTTTGGAATAAATAGTCAAAGCTTGAAGGAAAGGCTTTGGTCCTTGGGCCTTCCTGTTTCTTTCTGCCTGGGACAAGGACATTGTGTCTGGAGTTGGAGCAGCTATCTTGCAACCATGAGGCAACAGGCATGAGCACCGAGGCAACCTGCTAAGTGTGGCAAAGCAAAAAGAGGAAAGGGCTGGGCCCTTGGGGGCATCATGCTGCTATTGTGTCAGCCCTATACGGCCAATCCCAAGACTTCCTGTGGCCCAGTATAATTCAGTCTCCCTCTGGCTATTAGTTGGCTTTTTTGTTGCTTGCAGTCAAGCCCAATCCTAAATCATAACAGACACTAAAAAAGATTTAAAACCTTTTCATAAAAATTAAAAAAAATTTAAAAAGATGCCACAAACAACATTTAAAGAGCAAATTACAAACTCAGTAAAATGTTTACAGTAAGCTTGACAGAGAGGTATATTACCTCAACATATTAATATCCAAGGCCTTTATACATTTAGAAAAATGTAAACAACTCACTGAAAAATAGATTGAGTATGGAAAGCTAACACAAGAAAAATGAATATTTAAAAATCTGAAACCTCACCAGTAATCAGTGGAATGCACAAGTTGGTAAAGCTTTTTGTTTGTTTTAATTCAGAGCTGGCACATTTGTTAATCTTTCCAGAAAGCAATTTGGCTATAGTAAGTCCATCCCTTTGACCCAGTAATTATATTTCTAGGAATCTTTCCTATAGAAACAGCCAGATTTCTCAGTTGAGCTTTATGTGAAAGGATGTTCATCATGGCATTGTTTATAAAAGTGAAAAATTGAAATCATGCCATGTGCTCAATTATAAGAAATTGGTTTAGCAAATTTGGCATCTATGCAAGCTGGAATTTTTTTTAAAATAATTTTTTTTAAATGTTTTTATTGATTTCAGAGAGAGGAAGGGAGGGGGAGAGATAGAAACATAAATGATGAAAGAGTCTTGATCAGCTGCCTCCTGCACGCCCCCGACTGGGGATCGAGCCCACAACCCAGGCACGTACCCTGACCGGGAATCAAACCGTGACCTCCTGGTTCATAGGTCGATGCTCAACTACTAAGCACACTGGCTGGGCCAAGCTGGAATATTTTGTAGCCGTGTGGGAATTTTGTTTTTAACTGTGCTAAGGGACAGGAGAGCCTAGAAGTCAAGCATTCAGGTTTTGGAGTCAGACAGACTGGAGTTCAAGTGCTGGCTCCCACTTACACCCGAGACCTTAAGTAAGTTGTGTAACATCTGGAGATTATTTCCTCACCTGTAAAATAATAGTAAAAGTGACCTAAAAATGAAATGAGATAATGTATGTAAAATATTTAGTCTAGACCTAGCAAGTAAGTGTTTCCAAAAGACAGGCTCTTATTAATATTGTTGAATGATGTGGAAAATGCTGTGTGGAAAAGTGGGACTCAAAACTCCAGTCCTATGCCAAATTCTGTAAAAGAAAAAGTATGAATATATGCATTTTTTAAAAACTGGAAGGGAATACACCAGATTGTTAAAGATGGTTATGTCTGGGTGGTGTTTTTTTTATTTTTTTTATTTCCTTCTTTAGTTTTCAAATATTCTACAATAAGTGTGAATAATTTTTATACTCAGAGAAAATTTTCATTTTTTTAAACACCAAGTTTAAAGTCAAGCCCTGAAGTCCCTAATTTCTCTTAACCTATCCTGCGGGGTTTTTTGTTTTCCTAAACCTTTTGAAACCTACCTCCTAACAGATTAATAACACCTCTCACTATGTGCCAGGCAATGTTCTAGGCATATATACTCGGCATATAGAAACTATTTTATCTCCATTTTACAGATGAGGAACAAACAGGTGAAGTCCTTGGCCTAACGTCATACAGCTGTGCCAAGCTGCCAGTTGCAGACTAACGTGGCACCTCCCAAGACACATCCCTGGTGCCGACTTCCCACCTAGCCCCACATACCGAGGTGTGTGTTGGTCACAAAGTTCCCCATCTCTGACAGGTCAGGAGCCCCCTCTTCTCTGCTGACAGGGCCATCATTCCACATGAGGTCAAAGCCTCCCACTCGCTTCTCCCTTCCTGTGAGCCTGGCCAGGCAGGAGACACAGAGGGTTAAAGAGGGTGCACCTGGTGGGACCCAAGGACCCAAGCTGGCTTCCTGATTCATCCCTGCACCCTACTGGTTCCCACACTGTCAGAGTTCCTTCTTTTGTCCATCCATTCATTGGTTGTTTCCCAGGTGCCCACAGAGGTCTCAGAGGGGTCGTTCCCCACTTTTGTTCCTTGGCTCAAACACTTCTGCATTCTGGTTTAAATTCTGTCTTCCCCAAGCCATCAACTCCATGGAAGCAGGGACTGTGCCTGTCCTGTCCTTTACTGTGTCCTCAATGTGTGGCACAGGGCCTAGCACACAGTAGGGGCTCAAATGTTTGTTGAATGAATAAATGATGGTAGATACAGTGGACACCTGAGGTTCCCCCTGCTCAGCATCCATTTCACCTTCTTTCAGCCTAAGGGTGCATTGGTTTTTCCTTTGAGAACCACTCCTCTCTCTCACAGGGCTCAGGTGAGGCTGACTCCACCCCCTGGGAGGTGGGCACAAGACCTAAGCCTGGTCAAACAGAGTCACAATGATTGGTTCAGAGATGGGCATGTGACCCAAACCCCACCCATGAGCAATGAGAGTCAGCCCTCAAACTCTTGCTGGAATAACTGAGAAAAAGCTAATAGAGAAGAAAGATGAGAGAGAGAAAGGGAGAGGGAAGGAGGGAGGGGGGAAGACAGGCCAGCCAACATCGACTGAAATCAGGCCCTGGATTTTTCCATTATATACACATTGTTATAACAACATGTAGTCTCTTATTGAGTGCTTACTGTAGCTAGGCACTTGACAATAAATTATCTTGGTAAATTGATCTAACAATCCTGAGAGGTAGACATAACGTTTTCCCATTTTACAGATGAGGAAATAGGCTCAGAGAGGTGAAGTGACTGGTCCAGGGTCCCCAGTCCAGAAGTGTCAAGGAAATCCTGCTGGACCAAAACTCAGAATGCTGTGGTTGGCCCTGCTCTGACTCAAAAGGGCTGAGTCCTTGGACCAGGCACCAGCCCTGTGTGGACATCTGTGTCTCTATCTATAAACTAGCGGGGCTGGCCAGAGTGTCTCTGGGGGCAGCTCACGTTCCAGGCTCTGAGTCTGCCTCTTCCCTGGGAGGCTGCCCGCCCCTTACCTGGCCTCCATGTCCACCACGTGCAGGGCGTCTTCCAGGAGGCAGGTCTTGAGCTCGTAGTCCTCCCGGCTGCTGGCTATCAGCGACGGGGAGGCATTGACTTCCAGGAGCCACCTGGGGAGGGCAGGGCGGGGGAGGGGGGGTATAGGGTTTCCTGCTCCCTGGAGCCCCTGGAATTTCACTGAGAGGCCAGATGGGGTGCCTGGGCCCCACCCTCATTCAACCAGAGTCACTGTCCCCACTTTCCATTAGAAGAAAATTTTCAGTGCCTAAAACTTTTTGAAAACAACTGTTACAAATTTGATATCCCCAAAGGGGCCAGGCTGTGGTGACCAAGGAAGAGCATCTCATGTCTAAAGGGCTGGCGATGACCAGTTCCTGGGCATGTGTTGCCCTGTGGGAGTGCGAGTCCAGGATTGCTAGATTGTCTGAGTTTTCCAGAAAAGCCAAAAATCCAGATTTTTGTGCAAACATCTCCCAATGTTTAGAGATTGTCACTGAATTTCAATTAAAAAGAAACAAACAAAAAACATCCTGAAGGCCAAACTCCAGATGTCTGCAGGCAGAAAGCAACTGAAGGGCCTCCAGCTTACAACCTCTTGTTTTGTGCAACCTGGTCATTTACAGCCAGGAACCTGGGTGCAGAGAAGGAAGGGCTCACCCAGCAGGGAGTGGGAGACTCGGGTCTCACTTTCCACTATCTGCTGCCTCCTCCAAGCTCGTTTTCCCCACAGTGTCCACTCTAGTGCCCACAGCCACATCTTACCCCAGGGACAAAGGAGACAGACCCACTGATGCCAGAACCCTGTTTCTCTTGAACCTGGGCCTGACCTAGATCCTGGCTCAGAAAGCCCCTCAACACTATACAGCAACTCTGGGGAGGGGCTGGGTCCAGGAGCCGGGGTGCTGACTGGGAGCAGCTCAGCCCAGGAACTATGACCCTGGGCCTGGCTCTGCCCTTGACTTACTGCGTGACCTCAAGCTCCCAGAACAACCCCACTGGTATCACGTGAGGGCCACTGCTGTGGTCCCTGCCACCTCAGGTTTGTTCTACTCATCAGCTCAACCTCATGGACACTGAGGGAGTGCACCAAATTCTTTACAAGGATCCACATGGTGACAATACTCCCTTACAAGGCACTTTGCATCCCGAAAGCACCAGAGCTTACAGAGGAGTTCTCTTGCCTGGTACCAGAGGAGGATCCCAGACTCAGCAGATATTCAGGGAAAGCCTCGTACTGCCAGGCATGGGCTCAGTGCTCCATAGACAATACCTCATTTATTACTCATAACAATCCTATAGGCACAACCACCATTTAACAGATGGGCAAACTGAGGCAACAGGAAGTGTGCTCAATTAGGAAGTGGCAAAGCTGAGGTCAAACCCAGGCAGTCAAGGTGAAGAGTGTAGAAAACAAACCCCCTCTCCAGGGCCACTGGCCCACCCACTTACGGCTTGAGATCTTGGTCTATGAGGATGTCATAGCCGTACAGCTCGAAGCAATGCTTGTCGCTGATGATCACCTTCTGCACGCTCTGCAGGCTCTTGATGAAGATGTTGTCCATGTTGCTGAAGAGTGTCTCCACTGCCTCTGGCCCATGCTTGGATGCCAAGTACTGGCGGAAGCGCTGGAGCATCCATTTGCAGCCCTGGGGCCCATGCACCCGGGTTGGGAGAGGGAGCTTCAGTTAACCAGGGCCTGACCTGCTGGGACCCTCCAACAATCACCATGAAGATGGCCCTCAGGCTTGGACAAGAGGAGCCCATCCCTGAGTCCTGTGAGTAGGAGAACCCCAAGTGTGCCCCTCCTTTCAGGACAAAGACTCTGCATGCCCAGGGGGATGTGCCCAACTAGAGTGTGTATGCCTCTATTTCTAGAGCATAGCCTGGGAACCCACAATCCCAGAAGTCCTTGCCCAAATGCCCTGTGCAGGCCTTTCCCCTGGGCCTGCCTCACTGAAGACAGTTTGCACTGACCATGTGTGCATCCCAAGGCCCAATGAATGATCAACTGCTGTTTGTGGTAGGGTTGGGTGATATGCAGAAGGCCCTCACTGTGTGGGTGTGAGCTGGGGACCAGTTCTCCCTGTGCACCTCTGTTCTGGCTCTTAACTCTGAGAAGTCTGAGAGTTCTAGAGTTGAACCTGGTCTTGCAGGTTATTAGATAGATAGATAGATAGATAGATAGATAGATAGATAGATAGATAGATAGATAGAAGCATATCTGTCAAGGCAGGAAGATAGAACATTTTGTTAAAGAATGTGTTAGTTTGATTTATAACTTTTAAATATCTAGACAATGCATGGGCCTCCATTTGTACTCTTGCCCTGGGCCCTACAAATGGGTGGGCCTGACCTCACTGTGAACTGTGAGCCCAAGATAGGCTGTCCTGGGCTCTTTGGCACTCTAACTCGTCACCCCACCAAGTCCCAGAGGCTATACCCAGAGGGCAGAAGCCCCGCTTGCTCACCTTCTTTGGGTGGTAGTCCGGGGACGTCTTTTGCACAGCAACATTGGTGAGGTGAACATCTGGCAGAGGTTGGTGGTCAAGGATCAGTGTGGACAAAAAGAGTGAGTCCTGCTCCATGTAGCCCCCAGGGACCAAACTAAGACCCTTCCTCAGGAATTGATGGGGAAGGCTACAAAACAGCCCAGAGGGCACATATGTGGGCTTTAGAGCCAGATGGGCCTGGGTTCAAATCCTGCCTGCACTGTTACTGGCTGTCGGCCCCTGAGCAAGTCACTTAACCTCTCTATCCACCTATTTAGCGGGAGTACATAATAGTATATTGGCCTCACAGAGTTATTTGAAAGATCAGATAACATTCTGTATAAAAGTACCTCTTACAGTGTTGGCATAGCTGATAATATGATTTTTCAGCTCAATAGGAGAACATTTTCAAGTAGAAAGACAATATAGAACAGCCATCTCAGGCCATTCTGAGTTCTCTGTCATTAGAGGCGTTCAGGCTGGGTGGCCACTTTGTAGGAATATTGAAAAAGTGATCCAGCTTTGGGGTGGGGTCAAGATGGCCTCTGACATCTGCCTTGCGCTATCATCACCATGGTGACCAGCAGTAACACTGACAATACTTTGCAGCTTACAGAGCACGTTCATACACATCATCTTGCCCTGGGCCCTACAAATAGGTGGGCCTGACCTCACTGTGAACTGTGAGCCCAAGACAGGCTGTCCTGGGCTCTTTGGCACTTTCCCAAATTATTCCCATCTCACAAACAAGACTGTGGAGTGAATAACCTTTAAGCCTCCATCTTCCTGCATTGTGGGTGCAACTGTAGGAGAAAGTCCCCGAAGGAGAATTGCCGGCTCAGAGGTATGTGCATTTGTCCCTCCATGGACATTTTCCAGGTTGCCTCCTAATAAATGGCACCGATGTACACTCCTGCCGCCAGCATATGCATTCCCCCAGCCTTGCCAGCACAGTGTCCTATCAAATTTGTGGTCGCTGCCACCTTGACGGGTGAGAATGGCATCATGTTTGAGAGAGTGAGCGAGCCACCAGGTAGGCACTAAAGGAAAAGCCCATAAAAGGCACAAACGCTCTCCAAGGGGCACTGTCCTAGCCTACGGATCCTAGTGGACATGAAAGTAGATCCTGTGAATACAGTCAAGGCCAATATCAGGCACCCCGCCAACGTGATCATCATGCAGAACCGTGCGGGATGAGTCGCTGAGAGCAAAGCAGGGCTGCTTTCCTCAGATCGCGGGGGACCCCCCACCCCCACAGGACTGTAAGCTCCCAGAGGGAGGGGAACAGACCTGTCGTGGTCACTGTGTGTCTCCTGTGCCCAGACTTGGCACCCGGCGTCTGCAGTGTGTATGGACTCTCAGGACAGCCGGGGAACAGGAAGGGCAGGGCGCCCGGGGATGGGGGCGGGACCCCAGGATACACTGGTCATCGATGCTGCTGAGTGTGAAGCGGGTGTTGGAGAAGCGGGCGAAGCCATCCCGGTACAGCCAGGCACGCAGGGGGATGTACTGTGACGGAGGGGGAGGAGGAAGAGGAAGGGGAGGGGAGAGGAGGGGACTGAACCCTGGCGCCTGCACCTGCTGCTTCCTCCAGCGGGCCTGCCCTGCCTGCACCCTGCACCCGCCAGAATCTGCTCAAACATCAGCTTCCCTTGACCCTGCCCCCTCCTTCCCAGGCGCAGGGGCTGGGGCAAGGTGCAGAAGAAAATGAAATTAATGGGCTTCTTCTCTGCTCACGCCCATGTGTGACCCCCACCTCAGGGTGTGTGTCCATAGTTCCCACTAGACAATGGGTGAGCCTGTCTCCTTGTGCCCAGCGTAGAGTGGTGACCATGAAGGTTTAAGTGTTTGTTGAATGAATGAATGAGTGAATGAGTAAATGAGTGACTGGGTGGAGGGAGCATAGCAACTCTTTGGTTAAGAGACTAGGTTCTGGGGCTAAGCTGCCTGGATACTAATCCCAGCTCTCACTTACCAGCTGTCACCTTAGGCAAGTCACTCATCCACCTTTTTATTTGTTTCCTCGTCTGTAACATGAGTAACAGAACCTACCTCCCTGGTTAGTAGAGGACTGAGTAAGAGAAAACCTGCTCAATACCAGGGCCTGGGATTTAGTAGGTGCTCAGTAAGTGTTAGCTGTGCTCATCATGGATGACGATGAATTAAAAAGGACATGCGGAGGGCTGGGGCATCCGAGATGGTAAAATTTGAATCCATTTATCTGCCCCACCCACCCTCAGATGTCCCCCTGGGCTCTCCCAGGCGGGCAAAGCCAGACAAGCTCCCACAGGTGCCCCCAGAATGACTTTTGTCCCCTGTCCCTGAGTCCAGCTGTCCCTTACCCACAGCTGGAAGAGGGCACCTGTCTTACTCACCGACATCACCAGCACATAGACACGCAGGTCAAACTTGCGGCCTGTGAGGCAAGGAAAGAATTATTCATGTACCAAATATTGTCAGGCACTTGTGCTAGGTTTGGAAGATAGGGCAGTGGACCCACAGACATGAATCCCAATAAAATTCCTGAGGTACAAGGTGCCACCCAAGTCCAGAGGGGACAGGGCCCTCAGGCAGGAGAAACTGCATGACCAGAGGCCCAGAGAGGGGAGCTTGGTCCAAGAGCAGAGTGGAAGGAGACAAGGTCCTGTGCAATTTTTAGATTTTGTTCCACCCACCATGAGAAGCTGCTGAAGGGTGTCCAAGGTCTCTGGCTACTGTGTTGGAGTGGAGCAAAGGGGACCAGGGCAGCGGTGGGCACCAGTGGAGGCTAGCACAGCTGTCCAGGAGGGGGAGGACAGTGGCCAGGGCAGGGATGGAGGTGGCCAGACAGATTCAAGAGCTGGGAGCTTGGTGAAGAAGTGGATGTGGGAGGGGAAGAGACAGACACACCCAGAATGGTCTGTGACTTCTAGCTTAGCAACAAGGGGGGGGG